TCTGACACCTCAGCTTTACTTCAGTTTGATGCTTTGTTGTCCTGGGAGGGAAATTACAAGTCCAGCAAGGGTTTTAAGACATATCTAACATTAAAAAAAGCAGAAGACAAGCATTAACAAGTGAGTTAATAGTGTCAATTAGTTAAGTATTGTCATGTTAGCTTTCAAAAAGTATTCTGCTGTACTCTGACACCAAAGACAGTTAACTGAATGCAATAAGAGGTGTAATTCCTCTAATATTTTTGTGTAGATGGTCATTGCGCCCTCATGAGAATCTGATGGTGTTCTCAATAAGAATGACAGTAAGCCTAATGTGATTATCTTTTGCCCCAGACACAACCCTGACCACCAAATGAACACACACACACTCACACCATTCAGAATCAGCTGTTGGCTATCGTCACATGTGACTTCTGCCTGGAAGCGCCAAGAAAAGGCCACAGCCTTCAGCTTAGCTCACACTTCTCAAACACTTTGTAATTATTCAACATTGTCTGAGGCCCAGGCACAAACATGACTCAACGAAGTATACACTACAGTCTTACGTCTTCTTGACACTGAACTTGTTTAGGGTGATTACCAGATCAATATTTGAGAGTAAAAAACTCACAAAGACACACAAACAAAAAACACATCCCTAAATTAAATTAGGTTATTAAAGAATATGGATTCAGAAACAGTATGTCTTGAGTTGGACATTTTACAGTTATAATAAGTTAAATAGTTAAATAAACTCATCGGTGCTCTCTGGTGGAAAAACTGACAGTGACACCGTTCCTAAATTACCTCAAGCATATCTTTGGCACTTCTGTACTGCAACTTCTTTTGACATATGAGCAGGCATACGTGGCAATACCAGTATATCTATGATAACTTCATATTGGAGTCTGGTATACACCATTATTTTTTTTGTCCTAAAATTAGTAAGTAAAAGTATGTAAGTTGGCATATTATTTGCAAAAAAGTATTAAAAGTCAAATAAATCATATTTCATAAAAATGGCCCCTGTGAGTGATACCATTACATATTATATTATTGGAATACTATTAGAAATGCATTAATGTGTAACTGTTGTAGTTAGTTGTTGAGTTAGTAGACTTTTTATATACTGTTGGGTAGTTAAATCTATAAATTTGCATTATATATTATAAGAACACCATATGTTTTAAATGTGAAATCGTAATATGTAAAGTAACCACTAAATAAAGCTGTCAAATAAATGTAGTGGAGTAAAAAGTAAAACATTTCTCTAATGTAGTAGTAGAGCAGAAGTACAAAGTAGCATAAAATCGAAAAAAGGTACACATACCCCAAATATATCCTTAAGTACAGTACTTGAGTAAATGTACTTGTTACATTCTACTACTGAGTAAAACTAATGTCATGTTTCCATTCTGTGCTCTCAAACTGTGACCTTACCCTAAAATCCTGTTCCTGTAACATTTTCCCCAAACAAAAAGGTCATCTATCCATCGTCATGGACCCAGATCCTTTAGTACACTGCAAATCTACACTAACACAACCTTGCCTGGCCTCTGTTACATTTTTGAGTATAAAAGCACTTTTACTGTATCTCCTGCAAACAAAGAAATACATTAAAATCAGCAGTTATTTGGGTTTTCCTTACCGGACTTCAGGCACAGGGAGTCCTCTTACAATGCAGTCTAACTGGACCTTGCTGCCCTCTGGAACCTCCCTGCTTTTCAGTTTCTGGATGAAATGAGGAGGCTCACACACAGGCTCCGCTGGGTATGGACTTTCTGTCAAGGCACAGCTATCAGCCTCCTCCTCCAACACCTCCTGGGAAACAGAGTTGTACTGCTGCTCCTCAGTAATCCTGCAGTCCTGAAACTCCACGTGCCCAATCCCTGAGTCCAGCTGGACCTCTGGTTGGTGGCTTACAGCAGGGCTGCGCCTCTCCTCCACCTCCATGGGCACGACCGCGCGCTCCCTGTTGTCCGGGCTGAGGGGGTAAACTGTTCCATCGTTCTGGCTCTTGTTCTGGTTCCTACTCCTGTGGGTTTTGCAGGCTCTTGGTCGTACCCGTTTAGAGCTGTTGGCCTTGAAGAGAGAGGAGAGCTCCTCAATGAAGTCCGCTGCCTTGTTGAGGAACTCCTTTTTGGACTGGGTCTCCGGACCGTACGGGGCATTCCTCGCCGACCTGTTAAAGTCGCTGAATCCTTCACTGGAGTCCCTGCTGTTCCTGATCATGTTTTCCTGCTGTGTTTGCACTTTGAGCATCTTTCTCTCTGATGTGAATGTTGTGTGTTTTGCTGGCAGTTCTTTGAATTCAGGGGCTGGCTGGGTGAAGTGCACGCTGGAGGGGGCAGCAAAAGGAGCAGGAGAGGGGTTAGCCAAGGCAACAAATGGGGGGTCAGAAGAAGAAACTGAAGCTGAGGAGATGTTGGAGGGGGTTAACGGTGTGGCAGAGGCCTTGAACTCTGCCCTCTCCTCATGTGGCTCATGTCCGATGGCCTGGCGGGCCAGGTTCACACTCTTATCTAGCTCCTCTTGGCTGAGGAAGGCCGAGAGGTCTGGGAGATGGGGATCATTGTGGCCCACAGAGGCCTCAGCCTTGCCTTTGAGTGACCCGTAGATCTGAAGGCGTGAGGAAGAAGCGTCTGAGCGGCTCATCTCGCTGTGGCGCTGCTGGGCTCTGGCCTCTGCCAAGTAGCTCTCCCTTAAGAGCTGAGACAGTGACGGTGGCTGGTCAGAGCTGTTCTCTTGCATGCTGTGGAAGTAATCACAAGGTATTTAATTACACTTGACATACAAATCAAGTATGTGTGTTAAAAAATACTTACTATATGTTTTTAGAATGATTTTCTGCTTTGACCGTCTGGTCCACAAACTTTTATCAGGTCTACATGAATTGAATCTGACATTAATCAGTGTGGGGGGGTGGGATTTTTTCAGAGTCAGGATTTTTGATCTAACGCACCCGACTTTCTGGTTTGTCCTATATGTGTATGTATATGTGTTACTTGCAGAGCACTGACACTTGACATACTGTAGGTCATCTATGTCAGTGAATATTTAGCCCACTTTTTGTCACAGTTCCTTTATTGTCACATGGTAATGCAGTCAGTGGCGAGATCAAGCAGCCGCTCTTCACTAACATTTAAAAGTCCCCTGTTGAAAACAAATAGACAGGGCAATGTAAATTTGGTAACTTCTGCATTGGCAAAATGGTTCTTTGGCAGTTGACTCAGTTTTTTGAAAGTTTCTGATACAAACTATTTTTTAATTAATTTTAACTAATTAGCAAATTGTTAGTTGCAGCGCTAATAAGCAGTAAAGTATATGACCTTGCAGTCACTGACTTGTCTAACCTTTAGGAGGAATCATTAACGAAATTAATAAATGAAAAGCAAATATCTTGTTTTGAACCCTATACATATTTATCTGATACATACAGTATAGACTTAATACATATACTGATATATATCTTAGATATAACTAAATTAATATTACACTTCATGTTAAAACAATCCCTGGTGCACATGAGTTAAAAGCCTGGGTATGGGTAAAAATAGCTCTTTATTTTAGCCTAATTTCAGCCTTCTTCTATCCTCAACAGGGTATCAGGTTCATGCACAGAAAACTGATCTGATGGGATACAGACTGGCATTTCTTTTGCCCCTGTCCACCTCAGATCAACACTTGTATGACGTTTATTCTTTGCACAACTTTTTGAGACTAGGCATGAGCAAGTCATACAGACATGAGATAGGGTACACATATGCTACTGACACTCAAATCAGTGCAATTAAGAGAGGCAGCAATGCCCTTCCAACAGACCTGAAGCTGCAGCTGTTGTGTACATTAATCCTTTGCAAACAGGCTCCAAGCCCACCAAGTCATATCTAATAATAGCGAGGGGTCATTTTACATGAAGAAAATCCACAAAAAAAAAGCAGTCCCCCTCATCCTGTGTGCCCTTGTTATCATGATTTTGATCGGCCACAACAATCATTAATCAGACTATGCAAACAACTATAATTATCATAAATGGGACACTGCTGAGTGAGATAATACTGTCACAGCCCACACAGAGAAACACGGTACCACACATGCAGACAGGTTAAGATAATTTAATTACGCATTTATACAGGAATAGACTCCAGCCTAGCTGAGGCTCAATGTCAGACATTTTCTGAGGCTTTATGCAGCATGTGCCAAACAACAGGACACTGTGGACAACAAATAAATTAGGGGGTGGTGTGTTTTTACCTTCAGAATAAACTCAGCTGGCCCCCTATGACGGACTGGTAAATCCTCAGAGTGCACCTGTGCTCAAAGAGGGAGATTCCGGTGTTCTGGTTGCTGCCACCTGGGAAAATCTTGGACACCGGCAGCTGTCCAGCCTTCCCGGTTTTATCGCACAGAGTTAGCCTTAGAGTTTACGGGAAAATATGGAGCAGACTAGCTAGGGTAACCTGTCACCAGCACAAGTAGCAACATTTGTCAGTGCAGTAGGCGCAGGTTATTTTAGGGAGGCATGGCCCATGTGTCTGGGTGGTGTCCCTGCTCATTGGCCGGAGGGGGGGTTAGAGGGTTTCCTCTTCCAGTGGTCCGTCAGAGACCTCCATCCTACAGAATAGAAGCCCCTTATTGAGCCTCTCACATACTAATGTTAACACCGCAGATTAACAGCAAGCATCAATTTCAAAGTTGGCAAAACTTCTGATTTTAATTATTTTATTGGTTTGGCGGGGGGGGGGGGGGGGGGGGGTTCTTTGCAACAGATTTCTGAAACAGCATTTGAGCCAAGCACAATTTTATTCACAGTTGCTTAACAGGGATATTTTTTGCAGCACGGCAAAGAGAAAGTGATATGATCTCAGCAAGTTGACATAGTGCATCCAGTGTGTGGCATCTGCAATGACTGAATTTCTTCTGCTTCATTATGTTTATTATAATGCTTACTTATCGAAGAGAACATTTCTCAAGACCCAGATTTAAAGCATTGAATGGTGAAAGACAAAATCATCTCTGTGTCCCATGATTAATGAAATTAGTTTATTTGAAAGAGAATGAGAACCATTTCATAGACCCACAGATGGAAACAAAAAGCAAGCCTGAGCATCCATTTACACTTAAAACAGTGTAAGACCTTGTATCAAATACTTCTTGTCAAGTGGATCATTTAACAAAAAATGCATCTGTGACAAACATTAGTGTACACTGACCACTATATGCAAAGACAAAAAAAACATTTACATCATGAACAGGCTATACATGATAGGAACATTGAACACAGGAGTATGCCAGACTCAGGCCAAACAATAATTGCATATCATTCATTTTGTATAATCCATCAAGCATCAGGTTTAATATATTTACAGTTTAGGGATGATAAAGGAAAGTTGTCAAACAAACTGAAATCAAATTGTCAACACCATTGTATTGTTATCTAAGCTCTCTGACGAACAGTGTAATGTCCTACATGGCAAACCCTGCCAATCCTACATGCAAGGCTAAAACAGACAGGTGACATTTAAAGTTGACCTGAACCTAACAAACAAATGGTTCGACCAAAGCTCAAAACTCGTTAGTATAAAAAAAATTAAATGGCTCAGTGACTCAGACAGCATACAACATTAACAATGTCAACTCAAATCCAATGCATCATATATAAAAGACAAAAAAAACAACTTCTGCAAATCCTCTTTGGCGTAACAGGAAAATACAGTCCGGTTTGCCAACACAGTAAAGGCAACACGAAGAAGAGAATCATATTTGAGGTCAATGACTTAGCCCCTCTTGTTCTCATGTCTTTCCACACACATTTGTGTTGAGTGAAGCCACCGGGTTACAGACACAGTGGGTGATGCCAAGGGATTTGTAGTATTATCATGTGGACAGTATTATTAGCAGCAATAGAAAGTCTTGATTAGCCCAGTCTATCAAAAAAAAAAAAAGACACTTCCATGTTAAAGGTTAAGGAATGAAATACCCATCGTCAGCCTATCCCTCGTTAGGATACAGAACAGACACAACTGAAGGCACTCTTCAAATGAGGAGAGCGTGAGGAAAATCATCTCTGCGTACACAGCAGCATCCCACAAATACTAAAGCTGGATGCGTCATAACACAGAGGAAAGCACCATAATGGAAGTCTGTGTGCTTTTTCTTTTTTCTTTAGTGCAGTGAGATTAAGTATCTGCTCAACAGCTCAACATCATATTGTCTTTGTTGTTCACAGTGTTTTTTGTGACCTTGAGTCGACAAGAGATGAAACTGACACTTTGTCAACATTGCACCTAGTGCAGTGAGCCAACTTGTGATAAAGATGCGGCAGGCATAGCTAAAGTTCTGCAACAAATCCGGTGACGGCAGCTCTGCTATCAGGAGTCATCGCTGGCCCGTTTGCGAGACTGGTCGCCCCTGGAAAACAAAAACATGTCACATCAGTGATTTAAAGTAAAGTTTGCATGCAAAAGCTGTGTTATATATATCTGTCTCTAAAATATTCAGAACATGCTAGTTTTGCTATGCATGTCTATTTTTCTGTATCTTCATTATCATGGATCATTCGTAAAATGGAGGTTATTATTCATGCATGCATGCTATTCTTGTCATCACAATTGAAGCAAGCAATATCATAAATTTCAGTCACTTAAACTCAAAGATCACCTGTTAAAAACCATGGTATAGTTCGCTCACTGACTAGTGGTGAAAGCCTCAGAAAACTGACCGTGGAAATCCGTTCATGGAGAGCTCCATCTGTAACTTCTGGTCATGAGCGGCGTAGTCAGGCAGCAGAGACTCCACAGCAGGAGGGTTGATTTGGGGAATAAACCCAGAGAAAAGAGCCGGGGCTAACTGGGCCCAATCTGAAAGAGGAAACCAAAAGTCTATGAAACAGAAGGACATGTGTAGTGCAGCCTTTTCTGAATGCTGGTGGAGAAATAAACTAGAAAAAATAAGTCTGTTTTGTTTGCTGTAGTGGCGGCAAAAACGTGACATTAACTTGCACTAGAGACACAATTAAACACAATAACACATACAAGAGCTTTGTGGCAGAAAAACATGTGAGAACAATGAACAAAGCACACCTGGTCGGAGGCTGTAGAGGCCTTTAACCACACTGGCCATTGTAGATGGCTGCACTTGAAAGGGCATGGAATGAGCTTTGATGAGAAGAGCTGAACAAGAAAAAAAGTAAGTATTTTAGAAGTAATTTGTTTTTATAATGAATCTTGTATTCTGTAGGTGTAAGAGACAGCAGCACTGACATTAGCTGAATTGACCTGGATTTAAGCAATGGAAAAAGTTTTTACACCAACTTTTGCTACACATTCACAATTACAAACAGAGGAGCAATTTACAAATGTCGAGACAGTCATCAGGACTACAAATGAAGGAATACACTTACGCATCAGTGTGTTCACATGTTTTTCTGCGACATGATCAGCAAACAGCTTCATCAGATCCTCTCTTAGGTCTCTGTTGAGTTTTGACTCGATGTAGAACTTGTTCTGAAAACATTCAAACGAAACTGAATACTGGTGACGCTCTAGCACAAGGCTGTGCTTGGGTGCAAAGAATGTGCTAGAAATTTCACTTAACAGACCAAGATATACGTTGTCTTCACAACAGATATTTAACAAAAATAAAATACCTACCAAGTACATAAATACAGGAACTATACATTGAAGAGATGCCGTGTATTGCGTCAGCACAACATTGAAGTTCTCAATAAAGTTCTCAGGTGGGCTGGCCTGGAAAAAAATAATGAAAGTGTTGGTAAATATTAATACTTTCTTTGTGTGCCGCATATAATCCTTTCCTTGTGTTTGGATTTCCTTACTTGTAGATGGGAGGAAACCTGTTGCAGATGACTTGTTATTTTTAATGTCAAATCATTGTAGAGCAGCTCAGAATGTTGCTGACAAACACACTTGTAGACGTAACTAGAAAAATAAAAAGCAAAAGGAGAAAGTCAAAACCGGTGGTACAGAATCCCAGCCTTTCAGGTGGGGCTCCTCACATGCTGCAGAAACATCAGGTGTGTGTTTGTATCATCCCTTTACCTGTATATCTGTGCATAAGAAACAGAGATGTGGTCTGTGGGATTTTGAATCAGCAAACGGTCGATTGCCTTCTCAAGGTTTGGCCAGTGGTTTTTCCGGTACTCCTCTACAGCCATTGCATTGAGAACTGAGTGAAAAGAGGAGAGCTGGTGAGGTTTTAAACGACCTGTTACATCAGACACTTGATTCTGGTCAAAACCACGGGGCCTAACAGACTGTCGTTCTGGTGCCGCGAGCACCAGTCTACAGACATTAGTGATACTGCAGCAGGCCGAGCTGTGAGTGACTACAGGAGACGAGGCCCTGCTGTCACGGCGCCTGCTTTTAAGTTAACTTACGGAACTTGGAAGTAGAGTCGAGGGTGAATTTTCCCTCGACAGCGACTGGCGGAGCCGTGCAGTCCGTCTCGCTGACTTCGCTGCTTTCACTGCCTGAATCCGAGTCCATAAACTTTGATCCCCCGGTGCTACCAGACCACACGTTCCGTCGTCGAGTTCCCGGTTCTCCTGCCGGCACCGGTAAACAGACGGGCTGCGGGACCGTAGTTGCATCCGACAGCTGGCTTCCGAGATACGGGCGGACTTTACCGCTGCTGCTCACACAAATGTTGTGGTTATGGTCGTCTTTTATGTCCAAACTGTCATCGTCCATAGCCTCCATTGTCACACCCAGCCCTGTGTACCGAAGCCTGACCTCACTAGATAAACATTTTCGATTACAAACAAGGATAAAGTCAGAAACTGTCAAGCGTCTTTCGTGATGTCCATCTCGGTTTCTGCTGTTGTTAACTAAATTTTTACGACACGTCGTATCACCGGACAGCTGAGGGAAAACTGGGAAATGTAGTTTAAGAGACTTTGACTAAACCAAGACATTTACTAGGCCTTGTTTATGTAAACCTTATTCAGCTGGACCACGTAAAACTGACTAAATGTTAAATATTAATGAAGCGACTGACTAGCTTGATATTCCAGCTAAAATAAAGGCGACTACCTCGTGTTACCGTAATACGCATGCGCAGATTAGGAAACGCTTAGCCATACCAGAGCCCTTTAAAGAGCTCTGAGCCATACAACACACGTAATTTCCCAGCCCGGCATATTAAATCCTACAAGCTCTACTGGATCTGTTATAAATTCACTTATCAGAATACAACAATGTAACTCCTTGTCTGTTACAGAAACCCTCTCACTCTTTGAAAGCCCCGTAAAGCAGGAAAGAGGAAACCACATCTGGATCCGCAGTCAGAGGCGCAAACACCTACGAGTAGGCCTATGTATGAAATAACAGAAATGAGTGGTCACTGTTGTTCATTCTTGTTTTACTGAGAACCCCAGAAGAGACAACAACTAATATGGTGTAAAAAAAAAAAAAATCATATTTCATTAAACCGTAAACAAAACATTACCTTGTATGTGAATTATGTTGGTGTGGACATTTATCTGTCACATTGGCTCAAATAATCTACCAACACGTCTTTACAGGCAGCCGACTCCTCTAAAATAAACTGTTATAACTTTATATTCCATGAAAAATGACATGGGCAACGAAACTGGTTTTATATGAAGGGGGAAAAGTGCCATTTTCCAATACGAAGTCACTGAATATATTCCTAAGGCTTAATATTACAACTTAGTTTAACTTTGTACAGATACAAACTACTACTCTTTCATGAGTACGTTTCACATCGGTGTATAAAAATAAAGAGGCTTGACCATAAAAAGTAGCTGCCACATGTCAGAAGGAACACCTTGTCAATAGTTGTATTTTTCTCCAAGACTTAAATGACAGTTTAAACATACATAGCTTATGACAACTTAGGGCGGGTTGATAAAGTGTTCTTTGGTCTAAACTTAAAGAGTACTGTTCTTCCACCATTTGCCCACATGAAAAGGCAGCAGAGCTTTTTATATTGCAAGTTAGATAATGCGTTCAAGTAAACCATTTTAAGATTTATGTATGTGTCTGAAACTCATAGTACCCACTATTTAGCAAGCAGTAGGCATACATATTTACACATTTCCCAATGTTAACATGGACCAACTCTAAAACACACCATTAGACCACAGCTGACATCACACTATGGACTAAGACATCCGATGTCTTTGCTTGTAATGACTGCAATTAAGGAATTAAAGCTCAATCTAGTGCTGAATTCATGGTATGCCGTAGTAGATGAGAGCATCAGCTACATTTCTGAAAATGTGAATGCAAAATGAAGTGAGCATATGGAAAGAAATACTAAAAAAAAAAGAAAAACTGCATTCTATTTAGTAAGTAGTATACATGTATGAGGCTTCAGACACAATGTGTGTTACCAAACTGGTCACAAAAAGAAAAACAAAAAAAGAGGAAAAAAATAACTTCCTGCATATTCACACACAAGTTGTCACGCAATTTAAGCTTTATGAAAAATAATAGTAAAGTTGATGAGTCAAAATATATGAAACACATTATTATATATATATATATATATATATATAAAAAAAAAGACAATTAGTGCTTTGTCAACTTTACATTTAAAGGTGTGTGGTGCTCTGAGTTTTTTCAGAAATATTGTCTGTCGGCGCACTTGATGTGGCCTCATTGGCTAAAGTGTGTTGTATTGTGTCTCTGAGGCATGTTTCTCCATCCGCTGCTAGTACGCCGGCGTCCTCCGGCTCGCTGTCTTCTTCCACCCCATCTGCACTGCATTCAGACTCGTCACTGTCACTCCCACAGGAGCTCGACGTCTCATCTTCAGAGTCAGAGTAAACCTCCGCCCCATGGAAGATATAGTGATTTGGTGCTTGAAACAGGTACTGGCCTGCTGTGGGAAACAATACAAACAGTTTATAGTGCTGAAATCTATATCTGGAGAAAAGCTATCATTGTATATCCGTGTGCTATCTACTGAAAGTCTTTGGAAAATGAATGGGTTCGTCTCACTTTCAAATATATTTTAAAATGTATTGGTTAATTAGAATAGTTTTCTCTACCATGATCTAAAGCTTACTCTCAAGGCGTTTGCTGATTGGACTTCTGTTGATTCGACTCATCCAGCATCGTCTACGGAATTCAAGGTTGGAGGTTTGGCTCTTTAATTCGGCGGCTTCTTCCTTTGGTGTGTCTTCTGCTGATAACTCTGAAGGCTCAGCCGTCTCTTCACTGGGACACTGAGCATTTGGACAAGGCTCTGGAGGTGTAACATTATTACCAGCAGTCTCCGTGACACTGTGACTTTCTGTCTCCTCTGGAGGCTTCGTTACCGAGTCTGTTTTGTACTGCTTCTGCTCCTCCTGAGCTGCATCGCTAGAAGGAAGCAAGGCCTCACTTGGTGGCTGTTCTGGTAACCGAGGGGGCTTCTCTGTGATCTCATTGAGTCTTACAGTGTTGTAGCAGAGCTGCTCAAAGTCTCCACCCAAACGATGACAGAGCTCGTTGACAATGACATCACAGTCCCCAAGCAACTCCACATCAAAGTTTAGGTGTGGCAGCTGCTCTCTATTGATCAGGACCTGAGGCACTTCATGAGGAATGGAGTCTGGATGGGATGATGAGAAAACAGTTACAGATACCATGCATTTACTACAAGCACAACAGAAACATGGATCTTACAGAAAACAGAAATCCCTTCTTTTGAACAAAACATACTTGGGATGAGGGCAACTGGTCGGACTTTAAGTGAAGAACCAATGACAATCAAGAGGTCCACCTCATCTTTATCCTGCTTCATGGCTCTGTGGAACATTTCTGGAAGGTTCTCGCCAAAGAAGACGATGTCAGGTTTCATGATTGCCAGGGGAATATCTGGACACCGTGGACAATGAGGGACAACCTGCAGGATGTATTTATATTATCAGCATTATAACAAAATCTTATGTGTGAAAGGAATGCCAAGCCAAATTTAATCTGAATTTTGACAGTGTCAATGTCCTCAAAGTAGGCAGCAGTGCCACCCAGATTTACTCCCACCAAAGTTGTACGTTGATGGTGAAAAATCTTTAGAGAGTGATGTAAGTTTATGTAAGGTATGTTTCTTTTTATTCTCTCTGCAGTCCGTTTGTGCTGAAACTGAAAACCACATGTCACATTTTAAAACATGCTAACAACATTTTCTTTCTTGCCCCTATCTAGTTAAGCGGATAGTTTCGGTGTTGAATGCAAAGGCTTTTTAGGTATCTGCTGTTGCAAGCACCAATACAAGGGAGGTAACACCATTTCCAAAAGTTTCTTATTTTAAGTTTGGATGAACGAACCTGCCACATGTATTATTTACATGTCTGTTAATGAGAATGTACAATATTTGACAATAATGATGGCACTAATATAGATTTGCTGTAGTTGCGTGAAAAATAATAAAGCACTACAAACACTAATGACGTGATTCCCAAATGTTTTCCATCATACCGAGCACCAATTTCCTTTTTATGCCTTCAAAATTTCATCTTGAACTTTGCATGTTTATTGGCAGTCAAAAAAAATCTTGCCTGCCTTGCTAGCATCAGAGCATTGTTTTGTTTTTGTTTTAAATAATTCTTGGCAATATTGGACGACCTTTTTCATAAAAGAGATTTTGACTACCCTGAGCAGGAAAACTACAGGCAGACATTAACAATGGCTCCCCTCCAGCAAATAATGCAGTGCAAATGAAAAATGTGTCTGCAGTGTAAAGGATCAACTCATCTTTAGTTTCACTCCACATTGCCCCTCCTGGTCGTGTTTTCCCCACCCCTGGAATGGCTCTGTACCGCTCCAGCTTTGGAACTAGTGCTTACACCAAGTTACATACACAAGATCAAGAACACAGCAAATATACACACAGCGGCGTCTTGGGCCCTGCAAGATTCTTCACTGGAAGCTGCTTGTCAAAATCTCTTCAGTGTCTTGTGACTTTGATGATGCAGTATTGCACAATAGTGCATGTAAATGTGTCATCTTGGATCACTTTGTAATGGATAAATACCTGGTTAAAGATGTCTTCCCTTACAGCCTCACAATCCACTTTGTGTTTACAGACCAGACAGGATGCAGTTGCAAACGACCCTGAAATAAAAGTTATTAATGACCTTTCATCATCACCATGAACAGAATATAAAAATTAAAAATACGCTGTATAACTTACCATGGCACTGAATAATCCGCTGGACTCCAGCCACTTGTTCTAATGTATCAATGTTTTGTGTATAATTGCGCAGCAGCTTCCCCTTCTTATCCAGCATAGATATGAATTTGTGACATGGTGAAGGCTGAAACTGACCAGGGTAGATCTCCTGCAACACAGAGCATTCAACACATGTGGACTAAATCTAAAGCTTGCTATTATGGTGTATATCATTACACTATATTCAAGTTAGACAAGTTCAGAATCCTCTTTTAAAACACAACATAAACACCAAAGATGTTTTCTGCACGAGACCCTTGTGAATAAGTATTCACAGACCTTCATGTGTCTCATCCATGTGCTCAAGGGTAAACACAGTGCCTATGTCTCTATGCATGATTATTAAAAATAAAGATTATTATTACCACCTTGCACAGGTACGTGAGCAAGTTTAGATTTGAATACTTACTTTAAACAAAGTTTATTATCTTATCACATCATAAATCAGGAAATTAGTTGGTATTTTTATGTATTGTTATCAACTTTGATTTGCACAGAAACAAGTGGCTACATTGAACAAACCTTAGCAAACTTGAAAAAGGGTCTTGGGTCTCGTCTGAAGTATTCAATGTCAAACATAGCTTGAGGGTCTGGAAGATCAGGAAAATCTACAGCAAGCCGTGCATAAATCCCATCTCTGGAGCGAAAGTCTGGTATTCCACATGAAACTGACACCTGCAAAAAACATTCTGACTTAATAGCATGAACATTGGTACTATGTGTTACCTCAAACACTTGCTAACTCAAATAGTACAACTGTACCCCAGCACCAGTCAGCACAAGGATCCTTTTACTTTCATGGAGTAGTCTGACCACATCTTCTAAGGTGTTGATATCCTTCCGCTTCTTTCTTTTCGGAGGTTCTGAGATGTTAATGATGATCTGCCACAATGTCATGTCGTCTAAATCTGGTGGGAGTACAGTCTCGGGCAGCAAGTCCCTCAGAATGGTCCTTGGATCGGTCTCTCTGATGTGTTGCTGGATGAAACTGTAGGACCCTGTCCAAGAATACAACATCTCAGCATGAGATGGATTCCAAAATGTGTACTCTGTCACTCCGTGCAATTAAAACGTTGTTTAAAAAACTGTGATAAAGTTGCTGCAGGCAATGTTTTTTGTCAGATGCTCTTAGTTACCTATTTGCGGTTGAGGAGTCCAGTCGCTGGAGCTTGCATGTGAGGATCTGTCATCTTCGTCATTGATGTGGTCCGGTGTTACATCCAGCCCGTTTGAGGGGAGGTCGTCATGTCTAAGAAAATCTGAGCATAGAGAAGTTTGGAAAATTAAAAAATAAGACTACAGATAAGTAGTGTCTATCTTTAATAGCCCCAACGATCAGTTTCAACCAATACTCATATCAACAACCTCAGTATTGTAACGTTAACACTAACTTAAGCGAACGTTCGTGGGAAAGAAAGTAACCCGGGCTAACAAATGCTAATTTGCTATCAAAGTTTAACTTTTAGTGCCGCGGGGAAATTCAGTAAAATCATGAAATTCCCACAAGATGTGGGACAGGGAGTTTTCTATTTCCTTCGTAAAGTTAACTAAAGAAAAGTTAAAGCTGTTCGTTACACAGCTCACAACACACGTAACGTTACTATTAAATTAACGTAACGTTAACGTTAGCTGACTTAACTAACGTTAACTTATCTTCTGTTTCCAACTCGCCGGTTGAGTTGGTATAACAAGCACTTCCCACTGCATGTCGCGCAATGTTACCGTTAGCTAAATACTTGAAAGAGCTAAATGACCGTCTCTTTTCATACCAGCACTCTCCTCAGTTGTTCCAAGCATAGCGCTGTCGTCTAGTTTCACAACTGGTTCGTGCGGCTCGGAGACCAGCAGTCCCAGTCCATTGTTGTCTCCGCCTAGCGCCGCTGGGGCCTGCTCTACCGCCATCACCGGCTTTGCTTCCTTCTCCGCTGGCTCCGCACAATTCACCGCCGGCTCCCAGCTCTCCGTAGCCCCGGAGACGCATGAGAAATGATCTGCTTTGGCGACTTTGAATCCGCATTTAGTCACCGGACTGATTTTCGACCTTTTCGCGGCAGGTTCTTCCATTTCGGATGCGCCTGAAAAAGCCGTTCCGAAACTGCTCTCTCCGTCCGCCATCTTCGCCCCAGCAGGTCCTTCCTCTCGGACAGCTGGTTCATTTGCATAGAGCACGTGACTGATTTTCCACCAGTAGCCACGGCTGGACCGTCCCCTTTTTTACGTCGGCGACATAAAACCATAACAAAATATTGCTGCCTTCAAACACCGTCAGATGAATTATGAACCCAGGTGAAGCGCTCATTAATGACCGCACAAAGTGGTAAATAAAACGCAGACGTCAAACTTGTCGATAATAGCACATAAGCCATGTCAATATATATATGGTTTTTTTAATTTACATACGTGTTGACGTTGACATTTTATTTACGTGCCTCATGCAATCGTATCCTTTTCATTTTGCCTCCTATGCCATATGATGTGTAGCCCAGTCATCAGCGTTTATCACAAAGTAATTTATTTTGTTTTCTAATTACTTATGGATACTTTTGCCTTTATTTAATGGCCCCGTGAATACTCGAAATTTCGACCAGAGTGGGAGCTTTAGTTAGACACTTGAATGCAACACACGTCATGTGGTGAAAAGGGCTGGATTTCCTCCACAACATTGGAGAGATCTCCCATGATAATTTAAAAATATTTGGCAGTCTGTCCATTAATTACCCAAAGCTAGCTGACTAAATAACAACAAGATAAACTTTGATACTATTGTCAGTGAGTGACCCGCAGCAGCAGCGAGGGGGACCCCTACAGCGACCCTTTAACAGAGAGCTGTGATCCAGAAAGCAGACATTCAATCAGCTCCGTTACAAGAAACCACACGTATCTTTTCACAACAGATTTTTATGGAGGCTCTTTTGAACTGCACCCCAGAAGACTTGGAGGATTACTACGGGCTTTTGGGATGTGATGAATTGTCGTCGGTAAGTTCCGGCCAATGGGTTTAAGGATCAGCCTATTTGCTGGGTGACATAATAATTCTTTAGATCAGCGATACATAGTTGGCTTAAGAGCTCAGAAGAGGAAGATAACATAAAATGATGGATTTAGCCCACGCCAGCGATCAGCAACCTGCAGGTAAAATTAATGATATATGTAACCCCCAGAGATTAGTCTGAACCAACAGAGACCTGACCAGTCGTGCGTGTGTAGTTTGCGTTACAGCATTTTTCCTTGTATGTATTGATAATTGTAATAGCCTAAAAGCTCAGCAGAAATGTTTTGTAAGTAAATGCGTCTTAACATTAAAAATGTCTACATTGTCTGTTACAACACATAATAACAATTAGGCCTACCTCGCGCCGGCAGTAAGTTAATGCATTTGAAGGTCTCAAAATAATCTGGCAGCATTATGATCTTCAAGATAACATTAAATAGACCAGGTTCACAAAATCATAGTACCTTTCCCTTAGGCCATCTGTATGTTAGAATGTTGCAATTGTTTTGTGACCTTTTAGACTCTGAGACTTTTACTACAGTGAATGATGTTCCTTTAAAAATACAATAAGTGACTGATTCCTGAATTTCTGGTATTTGCATTGGCAAAAGTACCTTATATTTATTTAATCTTTTACCTTGCAGACTGAACAGATTCTCAACGAATACAAGATCCGAGCCTTGGCATGTCACCCAGACAAACACCTAGACAACCCCAGAGCCGGTAAATATGTGGACCATTGCTGTGACACATGTGTAGGCCTATATTTAACAAGAACTTTCAAATGCAGACAAATATTAAGAATAATATATCATAATACATTTTATATAACCAGAAGTGCGATTTGAAGTCAAGGTGAACCCAATGTTTTATTTTTAATACTTTTTGAATGATGTTTTCTTCAGTTTTCATACTTATCCCACAAACAGTGAATGTCTCTTTCTCTTGTTGTGACTTCAAAGCAGATTATGTTAATTGACAGCTGCTTACAAGTGCATGCAAAGAAGATCCTAATTAGGTAAGCATAATGTTCCATCTTAGACACTGATATTTTCTTTCTTTCTGACAGTGGCAGATTTCCAGAAGTTGCAGGAAGCCAAAGAGGTTTTATGCAATGAAGCCAAAAGAAAAAACTATGACCTTTGGAAAAGAAGTGGAGTTGCTATGCCATTTCATGACTGGCAAGCCTTGAATGACTCTGTAAAAACGGTATATAATTTATACAAATTATATAATAACTTGTCAAAGTACTGTGTGATCTGTATAATATTGTGATTTATTTGGTCATCTGTTTGCAGTCCATGCACTGGGCTGTGAGAAAAAAGAAGGAACCGATGTTGGAGGCCTCAAAAGCAGAAACCCCTGTCACTTCCCAAGCAGAGGACCTTCATGCTGAGCAAGAAGCACCAAAGACCCCTGCATATGATGCCATGCCATCCTCAAGTAAGCAAATTTCCAAATGTTCTCAAAGTAATGGAAAGTATAGAGACCTAATTTATTTGGATGCATCTGAAATGCAAAACACAACATCAAAAAAAAAAAAAAAAAATACAAGCATGGAAGTGGCCAATTAGGGCATATGACTCCTGGTTTTGTAACAGTGCCTCTAGCATCATGCTTTTTGGAGCTGGAGGATTCAAAAATTCAGTGGTTATGCGCAAATCTTTTTCATTCACATATTTGTGTATGTATTTGCCCTAAGGTCACACAGGACAGGCACATGATACTCAGAAGAGCACTAAGGCGACTAGAGGAAAAACATGTCCCTCTGCTGTGAAATTAGAGCCACTGAATATTAAAAAAAAAGGTGGGTGGTGGGCTCTTTGGCACTAGTATTGAAAAGGTCTGTGTGCCAACACCCTTTTTTGTGAAGTGTTGTGTTTTGCACTTCAAGGCAACCACTTTAATGCTTTGAAGTTTATGGAATGAACAGAAAAGCTGACTTTTTGTCCAATTTTCAATCACATACTGTTTGTCACATATTTACTGTATTGAATGATAACCTTCAGCTATAGCAGTGGTTCCAAACTGGTCTGTGGGACCCTGCTGTTAGTTTTAATTCATTTCATCTAGTTTCAGCTTAAGTCCAGAGGGCCACAGGTGCAGCAACTCTTCATGTAACCAGCTCACTAAAATTGCTTTGTTATGCACTGTAATCTTACCTGTGTCGACAAATTCATTCAAGTCATGACTTAATGAGAGGGATTATTATTGTTAAAACATAACTTAAATATGTAATGCGTGTTACATTGTGAAATGTTAACATACCTCAGCATGTCTGAACTATTTCTATTCTCATCATTTACTATGTACCACCAAAGAGTATCTATTGTTTACACAGTATTAAATCCTGTAAAATTAATGACCTTTTATCATCATTGCTTAGGTGATTACTGCCATCGTCGTTTCCGTTGGGCTGCTGACTCACCATCTACTCTGCTGCAGAGGTTTAGAAATTATGAAATATAAATATATCAACAGTTTAATTTTCTTACATGTATGTTTATTGTGCCTTGTTGTTGTCCTACTTCAGGTGGGGACCCTGTAAACTGTGGTGTCAATTCTTGTGAATATGGTCTGGCAGTAACTTCTGTAAACTTTTGTTGCATAAACTGGAAAATCGAAGCTCTGAATATTTGTGTTGCAAATGTGAAATACTTTGTAAAAACATAAATCAGACACATTAGATCATGTGAATCATTTATTTGGTTATTAGACTTGCTCATTTGTTAATTGTGTTCACCACCACACAATGGAGATATGCTCATGCCTTTAATTCTGTAATGTGCATTTTTGTGTTGCTGTCAAGTTCATAATGTTGGAAACATAAAACTGAGCCGTCTATTATTTAATGCCTTCAGCTTCAATGTATTTTAATTGGAACTAGGACATTCACTATTGTGCATTTGCATGGCATCATTACACCTAGTTTTTAGGTTTAAATTACTTAAGGTGAAGCAGGATGGGATTTTATCAGAAATCATTCAGAACATCTACTCAAAAGAGATGTGCAGAATTTGATTTTGCTGATGTTTGTGGAAACAAAGGAATTCCCTCATTGTAACTTGAGGTATTTCAGGAATGCGCATTATTTGACTACTACCACTATATTGATATTATAACTGTAAAGTTTTTTTCAAAATATATAAATAGAGGAAATGTTTGAACATCTCAATGTGCCACAAAGACAAATTTAATTTCTCAACACAAACTAGACCTCTGTAGGAGGATTTCAAGCAGGTGACCTCTAACAGTTAACAGGTTTGGTAGATGACATTTAATTTATCCCTTTATAGGCTATGCAAACGAAAATGAGCACCTTTTGAAAGTCAGAACTGATTAAGGTATTATTGTGAATCATTCAGCTCCAGAGTGCATATATTGTCACATTATGCCATGTTAAACTGTTAAATCACTAGAGAAAATGTAACATGTTGACTGTACATGGCCTGTTGTTGTCTTCTGCAAAATAATCACTAAAGTTTCAGAGTGAATGTACAAAGGTAGTCATGTGTTTAAGTCTGACTGATGTAAACAAACCTTATACAAAAACATGAATGACTTAGATTTAGTGTCTGCAGCACTGCTACTACAACTACTGTAAAGACCTTTGGGAGTGACGGTAGATTCACTGCTGTTTTAAATTTTGGTGGTGGAGTTATATTTTACCGACAGGCAGATTTTGAAACACAAAAATTGTTGAACTTTATTGAAATAAGGTTTAATCAGTGAGGGAGCTTTACAAATAACAAATAACTCAGCAGCTGCAGGTGCAGGTTTTGGTCACTAGATGCCGCCTGAGCGTGCTCGCTGGTGACGTCACGTTTGCGGAAGCTAAAAGCCCAATGAGAGCAGCTGATCCTCGCCGGGTGCGGTGGCGCGCGCCTGTAATCCAAGCTACCGGGAGGCTGAGGCTGGCGGACCGTTTGAGCTCAGGAGCTCTGAGCTGCAGCGGACTATGCCGATCGGGTGTCCGCACTAAGTTCGGTATCGATATGGTGCTCCTGGGGGAGCCCGGGACCACCAGGTCGTCTAAGGAGGGGTGCACCGGCCCAGGTCGGAAACGGAGCAGGTCAAAGCCCCCGTGCCGCTCAGTAGTGGGATCGCGCCTGTGAATAGACGCTGTAGTGCAGCCTGAGTAATACAGCGGGACCCAGTCTTTTTACACTCTTCCTACTCTTCAACAAACAGCTGGGACAACACGCACCGTCAACGACAAGCTCTTTATGTCCTATAGCTGCTTCATTATCTTCTTGTTTCCGTCACAAAGCAGCTGTGTTTGTTTGTCCTGCACCGCCTCCTCCTGGAGGAGAGGAGCAATGACCATCAATCACAGCAGTCAGTGCAGCGACACAGATACAGAAACTAACAGGGTTTATTTCAGTGGTTCAGTGAAGTTGATTGAGAGGAGAAATGCAGACATACAGAACATCAGGACAAACATTAACACTGTTGTTCTTCTTTCTTTCATCAGGAACAGCCCTCCATGACCAGTTCAGCATAGTCCTACCAGAACATCCACACCAACATATCAATCAATCAAGCTTTTATTAAGGACACACACCCGGTCCAAAAGACATACAATAAAAACAAACACTAAATAAACAAAAGAAAAAACAGACATAGTCCACAATATTATGCAGGCATATTTACAAATAGGCTAAAACGCCACTAATTCCACATTCTGGAAAAGAACCAGACTGGACTTTGTGCTGGGTTGGTAACATAACAGACAGTCTCGGCCCTTTTCACAGAAGACATTTCGTTGCGTAAAATCACAAGAATGACACCTCACTGTCATGGCTTACTGTGACACTTCATTAGACCTGTGCCACTGCCTACCCAGGCATTTATACTTGTGCGTAGGTGTGTCCGTCATTCTGCAATTACACCCCCAAACGCTAGTCGGCAGGAGCGCTACTGTGTCCAATGTGTTGACTTTTGCCGGCCGAGCAGGCTAACTTCCGGTTTAGCGCTCCGCTAAGTCTGGGTCCTTGATCTGAGAATTAAAGCAATTAAGCTTTAATTGTTTTTCAAGGTAACTTAATATTATGAGATGTAATATATAGCATTGCTTATTCCATTACTTCCACAGTATATTCTTATCATAACAACCACTGCTACGTATGAAACAAAATATCCCATCCTAATGTTAAAACATTTGTTTGTCAGGTGAATTGTATTCCTCAGGATTATTATATTGTTGAACAAACACAGTCAATCCAAAATATCATTGAACCTCAAACCTGAATGTTTAACTAAGAAAAAGTGAGTTTTGCGTATTAGGCAGCAAAATTACAAAAAAATATATTTCTATCAAATTACTTTAATTGTCAATTTTTAGAGTAAGTGTAAGAACACAAAATTATTATTAAATAACATTTTTGGCCTATCATAGCTTTCATAACTGCCATGAGCCTTCCCTCCATGGAGTCTGTCAGTTTCTTGATCTGTTCACTATCAACTTTGACTGAAGCAGCAACTGCAGTCTCCCAAACTCTGTTCATATAGGTGTGCTTGCTTCCCTGACTGTAAACAGAGACGTTTTAAGAGACTATAAGGACTTTACTTTGATGTACATCATACGTTTGAGAAAGGCCCACATTTCTCAATAGGATGCAAGTTAGGGGAGGAAAGGGGCCACGTCACTGAGACCCTTGCTGCCTAGTCAAACAGTGGAGTACTTAGATACATATGATGGATGCATAAAGATCATTGCCTTCTTGAATGCTGAGGACTTTTTCCTGCACCACCGCTTGAACAAAGTATCTTCCAGAAACTGGCAGCAGGTTTTGGAGTTGAGTTTCAGTCCATCTTCAACCTGAAAAGGTCTAACTACTTAATGATCGCAGCCCATACCTGTAGCCTACCCCTCCTCCACCTTGCTGGTGCCTCCATCTGGTCCATCAAGATCATCATCACCCGTTCTCACTCCTAACTCGCCACATACGGACGCATAGATGTCAGATAAATAGAGACAGCGGAAGTACAGCATTTCCCACTGAAATACATGTGAGAACAGGTTGACCAGGAACCCTTTATCTACTCCATCATGTTCCAGAACTGTCTGAAACCTACCTGGAAGTAGCCTACAAGGTGCCAAGTGCTCAGAGACATGGAGGATCAACAGTGAATAAGATTAACAAGTGGAAGTGTCAAGATTGGGCCAAGAAATATCTGAAGACAGATTCAAAGGTTTTATGGATCGATGGACAAGAGTGACTCTTGATGGACCTGATGGGCCATGGCTGGATCACTGACTCTGGCTCTGCACCACTTCGACTGAGGCACCAGCAAGGTGGAGGAGGGGTAGGCTACTGGTATGGGCTGCGATCATTAAGAATTAGATAATGAAGCAGCTATAGGACATAAAGAGCTTGTTGTTGACGGTGCGTGTTGTCCCAGCTGATTGTTGAAGAGTAGGAAGAGTGTAAAAAGACTGGGTCCCGCTGTATTACTCAGGCTGCACTACAGCGTCTATTCACAGGCGCGATCCCACTACTGAGCGGCACGGGGGCTTTGACCTGCTCCGTTTCCGACCTGGGCCGGTGCACCCCTCCTTAGACGACCTGGTGGTCCCGGGCTCCCCCAGGAGCACCATATCGATACCGAACTTAGTGCGGACACCCGATCGGCATAGTCCGCTGCAGCTCAGAGCTCCTGAGCTCAAACGGTCCGCCAGCCTCAGCCTCCCGGTAGCTTGGATTACAGGCGCGCGCCACCGCACCCCGCGAGGATCAGCTGCTCTCATCTGGCTTTTAGCTCCTGCAAACGTGACGTCACCAGCGAGCACGCTCAGGCGGCATCTAGTGACCAAAACCTGCACCTGCAGCTGCTGAGTTATTTGTACAATGATCCTAAAGCTCCCTCACTGATTAAACCTTATTTCAATAAAGTTCAACAATTTTTATGTTTCAAAATCTGCCTGTCGGTAAAATATAACTCCACCACCAAAATTTAAAACAGCAGTGGTGTCTACGTCACTCCCAAAGGTCTTTACAGTAGTTGTAGTAGCAGTGCTGCAGACACTAAATCTAAGTCATTCATGTTTTTGTACAAGGTTTGTTTACATCAGTGTGACTTAAACACATGACTACCTTTGTACATTCACTCTGAAACTTTAGTGATTATTTTACAGAAGACAACAACAGGCCATGTACAGTCAACATGTTACATGTTCACAAGTGATTTAACAATTTAACATGGCATAATGTGACAATATATGCACTGTGGAGCTGAATGATTCACAATAATACCTTAATCAGTTCTGACTTTCAAAAGGTGCTCATTTTTGTTTAAATGTCATCCAGTATCAGAATCAGAAGGAGTTTTATTGCCAAGTAGTGTTTTACACATACGAGGAGTTTGCTTTGGTGATAAGGTGCTACACGTAGACAAATACACAGTTGACATAGATAAATGTATAAATATATAAATATGGAATAAAGAAATGCAAGTTATATAAGAATAATAAAAGAATAGAGAAAATAATACACTATTTGCAGAGAAAGAACAATGTGGCAGATATTTACATGTGCATTACTCTGGTTTGTGTTGTGCAGACGTGTTGCAACAGAAGAGAATATTGTGTACATAAATATATAAATTGACAATAGAAAAATATAGAAAAACAACAATTAACAATTAACAACAAATATGTGCAATGTGCCAGGTTTGTGCATGATATGAAATGAAGTAAAAATTTAGACGTGCAGAGACATTTGCATCATTTGAAAGGGGACAGTGTCAGTGGGGGACCCGGGCCTTGTTAATGAGGCTAGCTGCAGAGAAACCTCCACCTAACCTGTGAACTGTTAGAGGTCTCCTATTTGAAATGTTGTCTCAGATATCCTCCTACAGAGTTCTAGTTTGTGTGGAGATGTTTAAATTTATCTTTGTGGCACACTGAGATGTTCAAACATTTCCTCTTCATTCTTATGGGACATTCTCATCTAAGTCTTTTGATTCTTAAATGTCATGTAGTTGAATATCTGCTTGTAAAAAGCTGCTTTATATTTATTTGAAGATTGTCTATTATTTATATTTGACACCAATACCTTTAATAAATACATTTTTACTAAGTAAGAATGGTGAAAGGTGTAACAGTTGGTGCACATTACCTAAAGAGGAATACAGTTTATTCTTTCCACAGAAACGCTGGTAGTTTCTGCTGCTGTGATTGATGGTCATTGCTCCTCTCCTCCAGGAGGAGGCGGTGCAGGACAAACAAACAGCTGCTTTGTGACAGAAACAAGAAGATAATGAAGCAGCTATAGGACATAAAGAGCTTGTTGTTGACGGTGTCCCAGCTGATTGTTGAAGAGTAGGAAGAGTGTAAAAAGACTGGGTCCCGCTGTATTACTCAGGCTGCACTACAGCGTCTATTCACAGGCGCGATCCCACTACTGAGCGGCACGGGGGCTTTGACCTGCTCCGTTTCCGACCTGGGCCGGTGCACCCCTCCTTAGACGACCCTGGTGGTCCCGGGCTCCCCC